CAATTCACCCGAGCTGCAGTTTGATTTCCACTGAGCTGATTGGGTACCCAGCGTGCACAACCCTTTCTGAGACAGAGGTTCGCTTGCAGGATGGGGCGAAGCGATCCCGATGAGATCCTGATGGTTTTCCCTAGGTGTACAACTCACCCGCGTGAAATCCTCTAGCATCGCTTGCACGGTAACAATCTTGTCCGCAGTTGTGGCCTCCACAAGTCAACCACACCGTGCCTCATCATCCAGTGACCGCCCTCCACGCTTGAATTCCGCAAACCACTCAAACACGGTGGTGCTTGAAGACACATCATCAACAAATGTAGCAGCAATCGCTCAACACTCTGGTACTGCTTTAAACCACATTTGTATTAATAGAAACTCATCGCCCTCCAGTGACATCGACTGAGTTCCATACTTACAGTCAGAGTATAGTGAACCTTATGACTTGTGAGCTGTGCTGGGCTGTTGATATAGGGTTCTGTGAGTTGAACTAACTGAATAATGTTCAAAATGGACTGCAGTTCACATTTTCTCGTCAGGTCATCTGCACCTAATCTGTGTACTGCGTAGCCGGAAAATTATTGCTCTGCCTTCGTGTAGTTGCAGCGGAATGAAAAGAACCACAATAAATCAGAGGGTTGAGTGAATAACCTAGAATTGAAACTTGTAACGAAACTTCGGGTTTTTCGGGTTGAAGCCACCGTAACTTGTTCCAGTGTCTGTGATCTATTGACTCTAACGCTGTTGGAGTGTTTATTGCAAAATCCGCTTCAGTCATGGCAGTACAATGCTATAAGTAGACTGTGCATGCAAACGGTAATATGGACTGAGCAATTAGCCTATTTCCACGTGAACGGTTCCATCTAAGCCACTTGGTGCTATTCGAAGTGACAGTCAGACTGCCTGCTCTTCTGTCCGATGCGGGCCAAGACGACATTGTGTGTGCGAAGATGCGTGACACAAGATACAACCTAAGATGATTCATATTGAGCAGGAGTTTATGTCAAAACTTGCATTTACAACATCGATTTTTTCGGGTTTTTTGCTTAGGTGACGCTCATCTCATTGGTCAAATGTTATCAAGATATAGTTTTCAGTTAAAAGCATTATGAACTAACGCTCACTGTAACAGAGCGACAAAAGAGTAACTCCGTCTTCAATCGAAGAACAAGATTCAAGGTAAGGAATCGACGAAAAAGTAATTGCAATTTTGTGATCTCTGCTGTCAAAAAACACTATTTGCTCATTCCAAATCAGTTGTTCACACCGTATTTTACTTAGGGCAATAATGCTCCTAAATTTGAAATTGTGCAACGTTAGGGCATTTCTTTAGGTAATAGTGCCATTGAAAGCTAATACTCGCGTAAGGTCAGTGTAATCCTGATAATCCGTCACCCTTACAGGTGAACATGATTCGCGACCCGATTTGGCCTCATTTGATAATGAGTGCAATGGGAAAAAACGCCAGCAAAACACTTAATCAGTTTTGAATATCGATCTCGCCCAATTCGCGACTCGTGCTGCGAAAAGGTTATACAGTTCAACGATTGCTAGCCAGTACCTAGTGAAAAAATAGAACACACTGGCATAAATAATAATTTATATTCGACGCGATCAGTTATTAGTGTCTGGAAGCCTCGCTGGGTTCGTCAACATGGGGCGCTCACGCGAACGCTACATCAACCATTGTTTACGCACAGTGGTGAATGGGGAAGTGCATTGCCTTTTCGCATCGATCGAAAAGTGTCGACTTTCGAGATGATGGCTAAGTGTTTTAGCTGGTCACAAATGGTAGAACACATTTGGTTATTTCAATCAATAAATGAATCGAATATATACTAGTCAGAGCATCATCCTATCTCAACGTACTCAAATGAAACAGTCTGCATATTCTGTCCACCATGAGCCGATATCTGAGGCCCAGATTACAGAATTATTTCCTTTTTGCCAACTGTCAACTTGAGTAACACCAGATGAATACAACCGAAATCGTTCATTTGGATTTACTGTTTCGTAGAAGGATAAACAGCCAGTGCGCAGAAAAGGCCAATGCGTCACAAAATCTCCGATGTATTATGTTACTAACCTTTCGAATTTGGTAACGCATGCGTACTTATGCATCTTGTGCACCTACAAAATGTGAAATAATACATACTGCATCTTCAGAGGTGAACAGTATCCAACAGTTATTCGGACCGAATTCTACCGTTTGATGCCTCTTAATTAAAACCCAGCTGGTCAACCGGGTCACTGAAAAATAGCCCTAAGGTTGAACAAAAGTCGAATACAGTGTTTGTGGCTGCCAATAAGTTAAAACTGAGAGAATTAGGATCATCCGCATATTTTCTGACTTAGAAATATAACTGACCTCTGTAACGACCTCACTGGTCGGTGTCTGGATCAACGTTACTTTCATCGCAGTCCGTACAGACTGAAATCGATATTTTCCTCTAGATGGCATGGTCTGCCGGACGGAACAATATCGTTGGTACGTCCATGTGCAAATATGTACGTCACAGTTTCCCACCTGTCAACGCATGACTTGATAGCATAGGTTAGAAAGCAACTTTCTTAGTACGCAGCTGCGTTAGTGTGCAATCACCGTCATTTTCAAAGAAAATATTTTGTTACCTTGCTATTCTTTCCAGCTTTTGAAAGTAGTAACCCGCTGATATTAGTAAGGCTCTATTTCTGCAACCCGAGCCGTAGTTTCTTCATACTTGTGGATAATAAATTTGTGTGTAAATGCAACCAAACAATAGTTGGGGAAACAGCGCATAGCCGGGTTTGTTTGCGGTCTTTTTAGCTCTTCGCTCAGCGTTTTGGCTAGTTTACGCAAATCATATAAATTCAGGTCAAGGTGTGACTTATATGCCCTTTTTGGGGCATTTTACTCCTTTACACCATCACTGAGAATCTACTTACGAAATAACATCAGTGAGGATGTACAAAATGACAAACAAAAGCAATAAAGTGCTTTTACTTTCGATCGAGCAGTGTAACTAGCTATCGCGATGGACAGAACAGCATGTAAAGAGTGACTGGGGTCGTTCAGAATTCTGTATGAAAGTCGATGCACACCAGGAAATGTTCACTAACGAGGAACTTAACAAGGCATTCATGTTTAAATTCAGCTCATCAGGAAAAGCATTTTAGTGGGCGCACATGAAATACATTGTTCATTTTGGAGGCGCTCGCAGAAAATCACAAAGCAATAGTGTAACCAATGCGAACTTTCATGCTTTAGGATTTAAGCAAAATTAATAGCCCCCGAATTTTGAAAGCTTTAAGAAATTTTTCAAAGCCAGATTCACCGTAGACGTATGTTTTGTCCATACAAAACCGCTCAGTCAACGCCATTAATTCTACTTTCTACACTCCTTTGCAGATTTAGCTAACGAATACGTTGATGCGTGTTCATTTTCTCTTCGAAGTAAGTACTGTTCATCTCAGTGGTAACAGGGTAAAATTTACCTGACATATCACTCTCTTCTGTAACAGTATCGTGGTAACTTAGCGACATTGCATGCATTCGCATTGAATTATTCAACCTGCAGTTTATGCAAATTTGGCCGAGACCAACTACTGCGCGTTATTCACTATGGTTTCTACTATAGAAGTCTTAAATCAGAACTCACCTTGCGCAAATGACGTAATTTCCGGACAGAGCTACCATTAAATGTGACAAGCAAGACAGTTGGAAAGAGTTATACCCATGTTTCCAATGGTGGTTACTGCTCCTTTCGCGGTGGCTCTAATGTTACATTCTCTCCAAACCTTACTGGTTAGTCCGTCAAGCAAACACCAGTAGAAATGTGTGCCAATATGCAATCAAACTCCATACACTCATTGTACACACCATTTTTAGAAGCACCAGCGGTTACAGAACAATTCACCATTCTTTCATCCGAATCAGTGTTGTCAATCAACGATGTCTCGTAGTGCGTCTTGCAGTGAAACGAATTATCGCCACTTAATGTATCATCACATCTCGGGGAACCGTGGGGCCGTTTCTGGTGAGCGAGCTACACTTTGTGGCGGTGTAACGTGGTACGATGTATCGAATCCGTGCTGTTCACACGATTGGCGTGAGTATATGGGACGCTAATGCACATGTCCGTCGCGTGTCCAAGAGCGGACACGATGTTACAGCACATGATCGTATAGTGCAATTTAGAAAACAAAAAGCCGACTAGTAATCCTGTCCACTCATGCCCCATGTATTCTTTTGCTCCCAGTAACGAGTGTTTACTATAGTATTATGTGAGCGTGTTACATCTACCGCTTTCGGCAGCCGTATACATTACGAGGGAGTAACACAGAGTGAGAAGCAATATCGCACGACCAGTAATTTAATCCTGTCAGCCGTTGCCGTTTGCCTTGACCTAGCGGTCATAGTCATCGACTCGCAAGAGTACGTAATGACCAGTAGAGTGCATCCAGCTTATCTGAAATCAGCCCAAAACATCTACATTGAGCAGTTACTCTGCTTAATATGCTTAAATAATACAGAGGAAATCGTTGTTTCGGTCAGTGCCCCAGGTCACTTACTAATTTGACAACCTGTTTGCGTCAAGCATAAAAGTAGTCAGTCCCACATCCCGCGAGAAAATCTCTAAGCGATTAGAGGATGACATGGAGGATTTCGATTTGGCTGTCTCGCATCCCTGCACTCCACGACCGACGGTTTTGTCTTGGTTTAGACTCATCGGGTAGAGATAGTCGAGTTGGGAATGGGATTCGGCACATAGTGCTTGCCGGCTTTCGACAAGATCACTAGGCCACTGAGCACCGCCACAGTGCTTGACACCCCTCCTTCGTTTTTACTCCTTTGTTTTACAAATGTTTATACGGTGTTTATTAGTGGCAATAGTTTTTGATCAAATTGTAATCGATCTGTTACAAGTGCGTGCAATTACCTGAGCGAGCAGATTTTGTGGAAAATCGAGAAAAAGATGTCTTTATTACAAACGTTCCACCCTAACCAAAAAGACGCTAGCACTCACATCGATGTTTCAATCCGGTTTCCAAATTTACATGTGGGAGTAATTTTTTCAGCTTTTCAATATCTTCGCCATTTTCTAATCCGTCCACAGCTGTAGGAGAAGAAAGACGTGCGAGAACCCAGGTGAAAGGAGAGCAGACTGCGCCGTATTACATCTACTTGTCCTCAAGGATATGTTGCTAATCTCTCGCTTACGAGTCAGCGTCGCATTGCACGGGATACAGTGTTTTAGACCAAATGTGCGCAGTATACAATATGTGTTGCTCTACACAAGTAAGCACTTTTCAATGAACAGCACAGTGGATAGAAAATCCCGAATTGGGTTACCGAGAGTAAATACTCCTATTTTAACACAGAAAAGAATACAAATGATTGAATTTTAACAATCAACTTACCATTACTTATCGTAGGAGCCGGCATGAGACGGATGAACGGCCCAAATTAGCTGACGGAATTATAAGTAGAAAATGACAGGATCAGAATTCGCACATCGGCTTGATTTTTTGAGTATACTCCGTCGCTACAAACATTAAAAGTCAATCATTTGTTTCTTTCACACCAACCAAGTACAGCCAATAATAATATCGGCATGTGTAAACCAAAGCCTCACCAACTAGCATGAATGAATATTCCGTAAAGCTGGTAGTAGCTACTACGACGATGCGAAACACAGTGAACCGGAAACAGGTCGTTTACAAGGGCGGGATAAGGATACTTTGACATGAATCCACTTCACTGTCATCTGAGCACTTGACAGTTCCGAGACGGATGAATACCCAGAACCGTTCACTTAGTAGCCCTGAGATCACTGTGTTACGTCTTACTCACCTCCTTGATACACATTACTGTTACTTGTCGTATCAGATAACGATAAAGTTTACCTGATGTTGTTACATAGGACTGTGATTGGTCGGCCGCATAGATGTAAGCAGCTTCGACGCTGTTATCAATCTCCCGACAGATGTTTTGGAGGGAAGTCTAGACACAAATCAAGCGACGCAGAATCGAGGCAGAATACATACTGTTACGGCACAGTGCTAAAGTAGTATGCTGTATGCATGGAGTCTTTCTAGACCACATTATATGGTGTAAAAAGAATCAACAAAGGCAATCTATTTTATAGCGCTACCCTCCACATCGATATGATTGACACTTATCTAAGAACACGACTAGTTGGAACGCCAACATTAACCTTATTGTATGACAAAGGGAAGAATCTCTACCACGTGAATTCTCAACAAAACGGCCCAGTTAGCTTCCACCGATAATTGTTCTGGGTGCGCGCAGTTTATCGGTGCGAAGAAAAGCATAAAACTAGTACATTGTTCGAAATTCACCCCACTGTAGTCCGATTTCAGAAACTCTTCTAACTAGTGTGATCCGAGCTGCAGGTCAGAAATGACAACCAAGCAGATTAGTGCGCTTCGCTCGTTACCATTCTGCACACGTTGCCACTTCTTTAAATCGGCTGCTGGTGACGATAGCCAAATGTCAAGTTTCGCTTTCGACAGACAAGATGATGTTCAGACAAACGGAAACATGTATTCTTCGATGTTTGGCTCAACTACAAACGACTTAAAGGTAGAAAATGAGTGTGTAGGCGGTAATTACAGCCTCCTAAGCGATACACAAATATGTTACACATTTTCTAGCGCACCACAGGTTCAAACGCGGAGAGGCACCCTAATGGTCGGTGATGTCGTACACAGTGCTCGAAATTGAAGCACCGACAGAATATCATAGTCATCTGTAGTATGTTAACCTTAAACCCAGAAGTTTTGGTTTGCGATCACGTATGTTGCTCACCCGACTAAATTTTTCAAGACCAATCTTCCTAGTTTAGATCTAAACAGTCATTATTCCATTAGTTTTAAACTAATAGAGGCTCTGAGGATCACGTAGTGAATGTAAAATTTGATAACCTATAGTGATTGGATAACACCATCTTACATTGAAGCAAATCCGTCAGCAATGAACGCTTGGGGTGTTGTATTTCAACTTACAGACACACTTCCATTTATCAGAGAGAAGTTCTGCTTAGCTACTTCTTTCTTTACATAATGGTTTCCTTAGAACAAATGAACTACCTTTTGATGTGAGTGAATAGAGAGCTAACAACAACAGGGTTGTGAGTGATCCAAATGGCCACGAATCTGCGCTGTAAGTACAGCTACGGACAGCAATCTATTGCTGCAAACCATGACAGCGAAATATATAGCTATGAACGCGCTGAAGAGGACATTTTGTTAGCCGAGACGATTATGGAGTAGAACAGAAGCTAGGCTTTACCTCTAAGCGGAAGCAAAAACATTTATGCAACGCATGACAGACTGGGACAATTGAGTTATGGCGATGTGTGCAGGGCGGCACTTAAGTGTGCCTTCCAGTAGATCAGCACCGCGAGTCATAGATAATAGGCGCACTGCTTGAGCTATCGAATATGCGACTTTAGCTGAAAAACGTTGTACAGACACTTCTGTTGGATTATGGTGATTGAGGAACATCGAGAAAAAGGTCCGCAATTTTTCGCCAAAAGCAATTTTCGAGTAAAGCTTGCCATTTGCTGTACGAACAAGTTTGCAGAGCACCTTGAAACTAATAGTACCATATCAATCGCATCAACATCCCACTTAAATCGGCTTACTCCATCTAACCCACCGAAAGTGAACACTGCTAGGACTGTGGTCCCAAATGAGTTAGAAACCAGTTGTATGCACCTGAATTCCCAGCACAGTCGACTTTGAGGTTTCATTCCTCGGAACGCGTTCGTGAACTACACAGTCCTTATCAGTTTGTGTAATGTTAAGCCCCAACGAGTCAGACTAAGATATCTGTAGCAGAGCGCGAATTCTGACAACTGATTGGACGGAACCGTAGAAATACTTGTTCCATCCAATTATCAGTACCCACACATTAACAGGTACCTTGAGGAATACGATTGGGATCTTTTCCAGTTAAGCCCCGCCACTAATGCAAAAAGAGCACGCGCAAAAAGTTAAGCCCCGCCACTAAGGCAAAAAGGGTACACCTGAAAAGTCAAGCCCCATCAATAGTGCAAAAAAGGCACGCGTGAAAAGTTGAGCCCCGCCACTGTTTGCCAGCTCCAGTGTACGTAATGCATGTGAACGTGCCCCATAAAAACACTCCTTATCCGCTTCTAAGGTCATTTTTGTTCCAAAAGTTTCTATGTTCGCACGTAAAACCTGACATGAACTTTCTGACGCTTTCGGCGGTCGTTCATGACAAGGAAACAGCAATACGTTTTTTGCAAAGCCATGGAGTGATTCATCATCAACGTTTATGCAGACGAGGACACCAAATGACACTTCCAACTGTTTCTGACAGGTGGAGGAGTGATGCCCGACAGTGTCGGCAGGAAATCGGTCTTCGAAAGGGAACTTGGCTGCAGCGGTCTAGGATGGATTTCAGGACAATAATCCTATTCATTTATTGCTGGTCCAAAAATCTGACAACAATCAAATTCTGCTCAGAGGAGTTATCTATTGGCCACGCGACCGCTGTCGACTGGAAGAACTTTCTGCGTGAAATTTGCGCCTGGCAGCTTTTGCAGACTCCAACAATTGTCGGCGGCCCAGGTCTACATGTCGAGGTCGATGAAACCCTAATATCACGTCGTAAAAACCATGCAGGGCGAGTCCTTCCCCAGCAGTGGATTTTCGGAGGGATTTGCCGGGAGACTAAAGAAGTGTTCTTGTATGCAGTGCCAGATGGAACTGCGGCCACTCTGCTGGACACAATCCAGGCCTGCATCGCTCCCGGCTCAATTATCATTTCCGATATGTGGGCAGCATACCAAGGCATTGAATCGATGATTGGCATGAGTTATACTCATCAAACGGTTAATCATACTGAAAACTTTGTGGATCCAACGACTGGAGCTCACACACAAACCATCGAATCTCTCTGGCACATTTACAAGATGCAGAATAAGCGCCAATGCGGCCCACACCGATCTTTATTGGACAGCTACCTGTGTGAGTTCGTTTGGAGGCAAAGACAACGAAAAATGGATCTTTTCATGCAAATTATTAATGACTTGTCTCAATTTCACCCTCTTCAATAGAGAGTAAAAGTTCAAGTTCCATATCCTCCCTTTTCACAATCTTTTTTGGGTGGCCGGGCTTAACTTTTTGGTGGGGCTTAACTGGAAAAGATCCTACGATTGTTACACATGTCTTATCCAACTTATCCTACAGTCCACAGGGCTGCTCAACAATCATTACCTTCTTGCTACGGAGTGGCCAGACAGCGTATTCACGTTCTTGAAACCAAGACAAAAGCAAAGGCATATTGCAGTACTCAAGTTCCATGGTGACAATGTGCCGGGAGAGCTCCTTTGTACACAATACTGGAGCATATGAGTGCATAGATCGTGCCCCAATTTTTCCCTGTCCAAGTGATGTTCTTTTACCGCCCACAAAGTACCACTGATAGTGGAGGGAAAGCAGCAAATCTCCCTACTAGGCATATCCGACTGACATTTAAAACTAGGAAAATTCATGCAACAGCAGTTTCTCATGCTCTCTTCTCACAACAATATTGTCAGCCAAACTGGAAGTAAACCATTTTAACCAGTTATTGTTACCGCTGGTGTTATTTGCACTACATTTAAAGCGACACCTATTTAAACAAAATGACAATCATAGCGTTCATATAAATGCTTTCAAAAGGGCGAATATTGAATGGAGAATGCACCGAGAGGACACAACTCACTTCCACCCGGCTCAGACCGTTCGATTTGTGCGACTCGCTAGACTGTCCACGGTTTTTCATTCCCAATCGTGCGTCCGTATGTCCCCGTGCGTTTCTCGCTGACCTGTTGATCGACAACTGGTGGTATTTGTGGGAATTGATCTTACCCTTAAATCTGATTGGTCGGGGGTGTTCGTCCGCCATGACTGGGATCTGGGATGCCGAAGGGCAGCGCGGAGATGATGGTTCGCACGTGACGCATCAACATGTGCGCACTCGTTCGACCGAGTGCCGATGGGTCGGATACGTGTCGCAGCGGATCACAATTCAGTTGATTGGGACTGGCAACACCGCTTGAGAATCATGACGTATAAGCAGACACGGCGTTGCAAAAAATCATCTCAGCCAATAAAAGTATCCTGTCTCCGAACAAACGCATTTTTGCTTTCACCTGACCTGATTGATTTTGATAACAGGCGGAAGTCGACCACCTGTTAGTGAGTACCGGGTCCACAATCACCCTGACATGAGCAGTGACATAGCAACTAATTTTGACCCCTTGGGTGGTGGTAAAATTGTCGCCTTGATTGAGGACAGAATAGGCGCGTGAAGGCGGCACAATGGCCCCAGGGTAAAGTGCAGATTGGTACTCGATGAGACATTTGATCGCTTTTGACACTGAGGTAAATGTGGTGAAAGTAACCACAATGGGATAAGTAAGGGGATTGCTGGGAAAAGCTTTTGCAAATGTGTTGTTGGTCATACAGAGTAACATTAAAACCGTCAACCCACAGTTTCTGCGGATAGTGTCCCTTATTTTTGGTATTGAACAATCGACGGTACTAAAAATGCTGCCTCTTGTTACTTGCCGTCCAAGACGGACCCATCACCCCTGCCCCTCTATGTCCTTCTAGGCCTCTGGACATAAAACATGTGGGTTTAAGCATTACGGTGAGAACGAAAAAGGCTGACGCGTTTGTGTAAACAGAAACATGCTTCCTGCAAGATTAAGATGTTTGTATATCTGCAATATTCAGAAGGCAACACAAGGAAGCTCAGATCATTTGATATCAGCCATGGTTAGTGAATTCGGATCGTAACGGTTGCACGTAACCTTGGGTACTATCCACAGCAACTTGTGTTTTCCACATATAACGGATCTAGTAGGGGACTATAAGATGTGCTGTTTAATAGAACCGACTTACTTTTTCACACGGGGCTATTTCCCATACAGCAGGAAACTTCGGCGTAGTTCCGTATGAATACGAGATCGGGTTACCTGGTAACGGGATGTCCAAAATGTACTTTCCTAATTTTACCAGTTACAAACGAATTATATCACACACTAAACTTTTCGGTGACGCACTCAGCCCTTCCACAGTTATTATTTTTCCACAAGTACACTCATTTTGGAACCTGTTTTATCTGTCCAGTTGTCACCATTTTTATTTCACTCTATAGGTCAACTATGAAATGAGCTCTCTGGATGTAATACAAATGGTCAGTAGGATGGTTCTGAGCATCCACCAAAGAATGGACCACAAGCGTTTACCCGTTGTCCCATGAGAAAGCTAAAAGGATTTTCATCCTAGCTCCCGATTAAACTCTTAACCTACATTAATTATTATGTGCTCTCGGGATCATGCGCCAATTGACCACTATTTTCCTCGTGCGTTATACATGCAAAGCACGAACTTTCCATACATATTGAGCTGACTCCCAAAGTGATCAGCTTATGTATAGTCTGGAAACATGCCTTTATGTATTTAGTCAGCCATACTTTGCGAGGAACGATTCTTCGGTTCAATACCCGTACCATTTGTTAATTTTTTCTCGACTTTCTCGCTTTCAGCTCTCAATGGAGGTATGCAACATTATGAATAGTGGCTCAATCTCTTTGAATCTCTGTTGACCCAAGTAAAACCGATCACACTTGAAGTAACTCCAATTTGCTGGTAGGTTTACTTATAATCCCTAACAACAGATGCGCTGACCTCATGTCCACGGGAGTCCAACACTAGACTTTCAATTGTTGTTCATCTATGATTTATCACTGCCATGCAAAACCCACAATTGCTGGTTTGAAAAACAAGTTCGTCGTATCAAATTATTTTGTGGTCAATATTCTTTTAAACTCTGTTGCCTTCATAGTAAGTATACAACAAATGTGGTCCAATAATTTTGAGCAATAATTTGGGCAAACAGGGTTTTCCACTCCTCATGCAAACCTTACCAGTGTCGGATTCCAGTGGAAAATAAATACTCAACCCCAGTGATGAAAATTGGAACTTCGCAAACTAAAAGCATCGGACACTTCCAGTTAATTAAACGGATATTTTTCTGAATGGAAAGCTGGAGGCCCCCCTTATGGAAGTTATCTACCACGCACCTTGACGCGGTAAGGTTGGTCTGCAGGTTAAACAGTACGATCTTACATGACAATTACTAACCGTCCGCCTTCAGATGTCTAAACCTTGCAGACTATAATTTTATCAGGGGATGGGGGGAAGTATAAAATCGGAACAGCAAATATTATGCATGTTAACATCAGTTGATTCGAAATGGGGGTTTAAAAACCTTGGTAGAAGAGCCATTTCAACTGTGAATGTCAAGATACCCACTCAGCATAAGTAACGGACTTTACGTCACTTGGCATAGAACTAGTAACTACACCTAACACCAGAGCACTATCGAATGCCTCACCACGAAGCTTCTTTTCTAGTCACGAAGTCCACTTTATAACTCAGTTATTTCAACTCAGTAATGGACGTACACCATTCGACTGTTGAATAGTGCCAATGGTGGTACACCTCTGACGTCCCCATGGGATCGGTAGCTTTTTTCCACCTATTTATATGAAAAAAATAACAAAAGGTATATTTAGTAGCAGAGGGGAGTTTGCGCTTGTGTTTGGCACAGGCCATATATATTTTTATTTAGTTATTTATTTATTCGCAACGGTGTGGGGTACGTCTGCATAGGGACGATAAGGGTAATACCAACACGAAAGGTCGGTAATAGTACAAATATGTTGCAAGGCAACCAGTTGCAAACTGAATTTGTGTGCAGGGGTGTATGTGTCGGTGCGTGTGAATGTGGCCATATTGAGTGAAGTTATTCCTGTAATCCTGCATGTGTTTGTATTTGATCAAGACACCAGTGCAAAAAGAGATCACTGACACTCTTCGAAATGGATGACTGACGTCGGTGGAGCTAATAGAATCATCTTGATGGACAGGAGACGGTGAGTTTAGTTAGTGCCGAGTCACTTCAGCCACTTCGCCGTATTGTTACACAGACATTTGTGACAGGCTGAAACTCACCGCGCTCTGAAGCACTGCCGCCGAAACATTCACTAGTGGAAGCCTGACATGAGTAATATGCAGTTGTGCGATTTTTATGTCTGTTTGTTTATGACAAAGTATATGTCACATTCGTTTGTGTTGTACCATAAAGTGGACGGAATAAATTCTTTTTGAGGCGATTGTAGACATTGCGTTAACGTCCCCTATTTTACCCATCAGATGTTATCTGCACCATCATTAAATAGGTTGTCTAAAGATCTTCCTCAAATATAGAAATCAGTACAGTGTCCGCGTTGAATTAGCTTCTGGGCTTGTTACGAAACGATTGCGCACTCTCGCACGACTGCATTGTACTTAGGGGCAGCATACCTGATTATAAAGACCTTGGACTGCCTATTTGTCATTCACCTTGGCATAATTAGGGTAAGGTGTTAATCACGGACGCATTGAGTGGTATTGTGCTGCAATTTTTATGCGGGCAAATTACAACATGTTTTGTAATGCATCATATTACACAACAGTATCACATTTTGCCTTAATCCTCTCAGCCAAAGGGGATTGAGATGGGATTTCTGGCATCACTGCCGAAAATTTATGGTAAACATTTTGCCTATAGGCAGTTCTCATTTGTTCGTCAAGCTGGGAAATTTGTTTGCAAACGTTTCACCGCCATGCGAGGCGACATCATCAGTGCGTCGAGATGTGGAGTGTGACAGGCATTCGGTACTTGACTACTGTATAATTTCTGTAGCTGCACTGTAGATTCCCTAATGCTGCCACAAATAATTCCGCAACACCCTGCATTTGCTTGTTATTTACCCTTTCTCAAGAACCCATATACATAATATTTATGGCAACGAAGACACAGAGTACTTGATGGTCTAAGGATTAACTTTTTGTTACATGTTCATTACTTTTTCTTGCCGTCTTCCTTCGCATTTTCGCCTAGCTGTCTGTTTGGTTGCATGTTGTCCGTTCCCCCTTCTTTTCGAGTTCTTCAGAAATCGTGGCCGGAACACGAGAAACATTGCAATAACGGCGGATGATCCTTAATCAGCGATTCTAATCCCCACTCCAATGAGGCTCGCGGTTCCCTCAGCTGGATGTGCATAGGATTTAATGCTCTTTAAGGAAATCTGAATCCATAGAATGTGAGCGGACGAAAATGAAGGGCATGTGACTGCGAATAGCCGTGCAGTCAATCGGTTCAAGGTCAAACCATTCCAACTTATCGAAACTCAATTTAAGTCATTGATTCAACATTTACTTGCGACAAATACCTATCTCATCATCGGTGCATAGCGACACCTTGGCATCCACAAAACAACTTGCTGTTTCAACATGGAATCATTTAACTCTATGGGTCATGTAAAGCTCCAGCTTTTATTCCCATTAAATACAATGTTCCAATCCAACCACATCCCATTTCTTGGATCTCATGAATCTACTCAATTACTTTGTTAAGGTTAATGTTTGGGCAAACTGAACTCGTCACACATTTACTTGTCTAAAACTGACCATGCCTTATTTAATATGCCTCGTGTACCATCATGAATATACATTTTGTTTGTCCACTTATTTATTTATTTTAAGACAGTGCTAATGAGGATGTTAAAAAGCGCAATCTTAGCTGAAATGAAATGCTTTTGGTGAGATATATTAGCCACATCTGTTCGGCCCATGCTTTCTATTACTCAAGCTGCTCATGGACTATTACCATCTATACCGACCCTTACTGA